GTACCAGGGATCGAACTTAGGACCTTGTGCTTGCCAGGCAGACACTTAGGCCTCTGATCTATCTTCCCAGCCCAAAACACAGTAATTATAAGCTGAATGGCCATGTAATCACCACCCATGTTAAGAAGCACTTCAAAAGCTTACATTGACCCTTCCCCTTCATAGTTTTTCCACTCATCCCAAGTAAGCATTGTGTTGACATTTGTGGTAATCATTCCTTTGTGTCCTTAAATCATATAATACAGACCTATGTTTTTGTGTTTTGGTTTTTTTTTTTTTTTTTGTGGAACCAGGGATTGAACTCGGGCCCTTGCAGACCTATGTATTTTTAACCTCAGTGTTTATGAAAAATAATTTAGTGTTATTGTTTATGAGTAGTTAGAATTTATTCACTTTCTTTACGTAATTATTTTCCATTATATCCTATACTAGTTTATTTGTCCATTCTTCCCTGGATGATTATTTGGATTGTTCTATTTTTGTTGTTATGGCATGACCATGAACACACATTCCATATATGCTGCTACATATGTGCTTGTTTAGCAAGGTAGATATGTAGAAACTGATATGTTTTGTATATACACACATTTAACTTTACTAGGTAATGCCATTTTATTTTCCCAACTGACCACAGCAGTTTGCAAGAACTCATGTTACTCTATAACCAGAGATCTGACAGATTTTGCCAAATTTAAGAGTGCAAAATTACGTCCCACTGTGATTTTAATTTTCATTTCTTTGTTTACTTAATAAAGTTGTGCACATTTCAAAATTTTATTTGTTGAATTTAGGATTTGTTCAGTTTCTTGCTATTTATTCATTTATTTTTGAGTCTTAAACTAGTGGCCTTCAACTTCCTCCCCCTTTCCTGAAGGAATATGCTAAACAATAGGCAGAAATCTTTCACTTTGTAGAGAGTAGCTTGATCATTTCATTTATTTTCTTTTTCTTTTTTTTTTTTTCAACCCACCTGGGTTTCAGGCATTTCTTAGCATTTCATTGATCTTTCTTCTCCCTCCTTTTCGTGTTTCCTAGACTTTGAAGCGGCTCATGGCAGATGAGGTAAGGAATTTTTGTTTTGCATGTGCATGTTCTAGCTCATTTCTTACACTGTAACATTGACCAGTGTCCACTGCATTAACTTTCTTTAGCTTGTAATGGTGCTAGGTGATCTTGTCTGAGAGCACTAAGGCCTTTCCCTAACTCTTTGTGGTTAATCCATTGCATGCATTTCCCTGGTACCTTCATTAACTTACAAAATTGTCTTGCAGTCTGAATGCCACTCATCACTGAAGCACTACAATACTTCCAGAGTTACTGTTATTTTCAAATGGGTTTGGCTGGTAAACTGTAGTTTATAGGTATCTCATTTTAATTTTAGCATCTGTACTTGAAATTTGAGGAAAAGTTAATTACTGTTTGATTGGTAGAGAGATAGTATATATACCTCTGAAATACATCATATTCTTTGCTGATTAGATAGTTGTTATACAAAGGGGACTCTGAAGAATGTGTTAAGCTTTTACTACCTTCATAACCCAGGTGCCATGGAAGGTACAAAAAGGAGAAAGGGAATGGTTCTAGGTTTAAGGCATTTGCTTATCTTACATGACATCTTAAAATCTGTGGTCATACTTACTTCTGGGAGGGAACCTCTGAGGGCCTGGCTACATTTATTATTAGGTATCTATTATAAGGACTCTAAGGGCATTTTATTGAGATAGGTTTGTACATATATGCAGTTCTATGTTGCTAGACAGCTTCAAAATGAGAAAGACGAGATCAAGAACAAAGCTATATTTTTAGAGACTGAAATCCTGGTGGTTCAGTTGTCTTGTCTTTAAAAGATACGTGAAAGTATACAGTCAATGTGCTAAATTAGATGTGTGGAAGACTGATTTCTTCTTTCATGTGAGAAGTTTTGAACTGCTCTTGAACCAAAGGAACCATGCATGCAGAAGAGGTTAAGGGATTGGTTATTTGATGTGTAGTCTGTTTTGTAAGTAAAGATGGCTCATTGCTAATACTTTTTTCTTTCACAGCTGGAGAGATTTACAAGCATGAGAATTAAGAAGGAGAAAGAAAAGCCCAATTCTGCTCATAGAAATTCTTCTGCATCATATGGGGATGATCCCACAGCACAGTCATTGCAAGATATTTCAGATGAGCAAGTTTTAGCCCTCTTTGAGCAGATGCTGGTAAGTTTCCCACCACAAAATATGGTTTCTTCCTGAAAATGAATTTATAGGCATGGTGCTTTGGCCATTTTCTCTTTTAAATGCACAGCTCAGGACTGGCCAGATAGCTTAGTGGATTAAAGGGCCTGCTTAGGCAGATGCAGCAGGGACTAGGTTTCATCCCTGGTGCTTTGCTGGCCACGCCTCCGGGCACAGTGAGATGGCAATTAAGATTGGGTGTGGTGGCATGCACCTGTAATCTCAGCACTTGGGAGGCTAAAAACAGGAGGATCACTACGAGTCCAATCTGTATAGTAAGACCCTGCACACCCTGTACTAAATACATTTAAAAAAAAAATTAGGGGCTGGTGAGATGGCTCGGTGGTCTAAAGCACCTACTTAGAACAAGCTAAGCTAAACAAAGCACAGGGACCGCGGTTCAATCCCCCAGCACCACATGCCAGCCAGCCCCCGCCCCCTGTTGGACTGAGCTGGCCACACACACACTAAATAAATGAATAAATAAATATTTAAAAAAAAATTATAAAAAAAAATAAAAAAAAATAAATGCACAGCTCTCCTTCATTAGCCCTTTATTAGAAAAAATTCTAGGCTTAATGTGAAACTTTTAAATGTTGAAACCATAAACAAGGGACTGCATAAATAAGTGCCAGTCCACAGGATTATAATCTGTGAAGCTTACAAACATCTGATTACTGATCATTTTGTTAATGTTCTTCTGTTCAGTAATACTTCATTCACAAAGACATGGTATGAGTGGGACCGATTCTTATAGTATTCTAGAGATCACCTTTGGCTTAAGCCAGAGTAGGTTAAGTAATGAAGCATTCACAGTGAATTCTGTGGGTATGAAGAGGAAGAAACTGAGAAATAGAAAGGCTTTTCCCCAAGGTCTTCTGTTTAGTGGTGAATCAGAAAAGAGAATGCTGATGTCGAATCACTAGAAGACTGTTGAATATTGTGTCTTAAGTCAGTTGAATTATGAAGTGTACTGACGTGTGACTGACTTTCCTATCCTCAGTGAAAAATGCTGAGTGAGGAGAACATATTGAGATAACCAAGTAATGTGCTTAGCACCTATAGTTGTTGCAGATTTTACTGGTATTTGGATGGCATCAGTTATCCAATCCTTCAGCCTGAAGAGATATTTATAATCCATTCTCAATGCAAAAAAAATAGTGTATGAGCTGGGCATGGTATCAGATGCCTATAATTCCAGGTATCTAGGAGACTAAGACAGTAGAATCATAAATTCAAGGCCAGCCTGGGCAACTTAGCAGACCTGGTCTCATAATAAAAAGAGTTGAGGATATAGCTCAGCATCCCTGAGTTCAATCCCAAGTGTCACAAAACAAAACAAAAATTGCATGTGGTTTTCTTTCAGTGATACAAAAGAAATTGTTTATATTGACTCAGTATTTCTTAAAAGTTTATATGTGTAAAAATGTCTGCAGTGGGCTGATGAAGTAGTTCAGTGGCAGTGTGTATAGTTAACTCACATGAAGCTCTGGGTTTAACCCTTAGAAATGCGTGTGTACACACGGGTACATATGCCCGCACACATGCAGTATCTATAGGGATTTATACTAAAGTGTTAGCCACATTTATCTCTGAGAAATTTTGGTCAGCTGTAATAACTTTAGGAATCAATAAATATCTATGCATTAGTTATTTACTATGCTGAATTTATCACTAAGTGTTCTGTAAAAAAAACACTAAAAATTTTAAGGAATTCAAGATAATTTTGTCCCCCCTCCCCCCCCCCGCCGTCTCCTAGCTGGATATGAATCTGAATGAGGAGAAACAACAACCTTTGAGGGAGAAGGACATTATCATCAAGAGGGAGATGGTGTCCCAGTACTTACACACCTCCAAGGCTGTGAGTCCTAGGGCAGGTACCCTTGACATGGGGGACTGTGCCCTTATCTTGGGCTTGTTTATTTGGCCAACTTTGTGTAATGTGTTATGTCTGCGTCACTCCATTATATTAACCTACCAATTTTCTATTCTAATAACTGAGTTATCATTCTTAAGTAGTTTTTGTGTGACTTAAATTTCATGACATATGGGGAGTGGGATGAGCATTCTTGAGTCTCGTGTAGTTTAATGATCTTTATAGTGGATGTCTGCCCTGGTATTATTAACAATTAACTGTAGCTGGGTATGGTGGCACATGCCTACAATCCTGCACTTGGAAGCTGAGGCAGGAGGATCACCTCAAGTTCAAGGCCAACCTGTGCTACATATTACATTCAAGCCCAGCCTGAATCATACAGCAAAAGCCTGGTTCAAATAAAATAAAATAAAAATAATTTTTTTTATAAAAAAATAAAATAAATTAATTAAAATTAATTAATTAATTAATTAATTAAATATTAGTTTCCATTTCATGATTGGACCTAATGTTTATTAATTTCTCTACATGTTTCCTTTGTAGGGCATGAGCCAAAAGGAGAGTTCTAGGTCTGCCATGATGTACATTCAGGAGTTGAGGTCAGGCTTGCGGGATATGCCTCTGCTCAGCTGCTTGGAGTCCCTTCGTGTCTCTCTCAACAACAACCCTGTCAGGTGCGGGCTCTAAAGAGGTAACATAAGTAGGAATCTAGTGTTGAAATTCAGTGGTGATTTAAGATCAGAGGTACCAGGGAAGCATGAGAATGGTCTGGATTGGGAATAGAGTTGCCATATAAACTATACATACATACATACAAAATAAATAATAATTATTGATATGAAATTACATTGTTTTCCTGTTCCCTACAGTTGGGTGCAAACATTTGGTGCTGAAGGCCTTGCTTCTTTATTAGATATTCTCAAGCGACTTCATGATGAAAAAGAAGAGAGTCCTGGGTAAGGAATTCCAGATCTCTGCATCTTCTTGGTGGAGGGCTGTAGGGGGCTTGACTCTTTGCTGTAAAGGAAATACTGGGGCTGGGGAGATGGCTCAGTGGAATAAGCGCTTCCCTGGCAAGTGCAAGGGCCTGAGTTCAATCCCCGGTTCTGCAAAAAAAAAAAAAAAAAAAAAAAATCAAGTTAAAAAAAAAAAAAAAAGGAAATACTGACAGTTTACTGTAGTCAGGCGTGGTGACTCACACCTGTAATCCCAGCACTCAGGAGGAGGCTGAGGCAGGAGAATGATTTTGAATTTCAGGTTATTCAGTAATATATAGTGAGATGCTGTCTCCAGAAGAATAAATGTAAAGTGATAAACTAAGGGAGTATGCTGTTAGCTGAGAATGGGGTTTATTTTAGGGTGACCAGAGAGTGAATGATGATTATAGACACAGAAAAGGGAAGAGGAATTTAGATTTCATAGTAAATAACATTTGGTATATACCGCATAAGATTAGCCTTCTAGGCTTCTATGTCAGGCTGGAAATGGGAACCTGATTTCATCCATAGCTGCCTGTTGATCTAGTCTGGGTCAAATCACATTTGAAAGTGTTAGAATATACTTAATCATTTTGGGACTATTTCTACTGCATGCCTCAGAGTTGGAATAATTCTGGGAATACCTTGTACTTAGGTTATTTTGAAGATAGGCAGAGCTAGGGTGACTTTCTCAGCTTTCTAGAGTCTTTCAGACCAGAACATTGCAGGGCCTGGACCTCCTGCATGTGCCCTCTCAGATTTAATAGCAAACAGTAATAGATTGGGTGTTATTCTAATAGAATTTAGCACTTAAGAGCTTAGAGGAAGTTAAAGGACAGGGTTTTAAAGTAACACTAAATTATTGGATTACAAGAGGGTTGTCAAAGGCCTTTGGTGGGGATATCTTGTCGGCTGTTTTTGTTCAGCGTTTCTAAGTCAATTGCTGTGTGGTAGACTTTACCCATCTACAAGTTGAGGGTCTTCCTACAGTCCTTGTTTGCAAGATTGAAAAGTCAGCTGCGAAGCAGTGCAGAATAAAGGGAGTTTACTTAATTAAGTCTTCTACTTGCAGAAGCTATGATAGCCGGAACCAGCATGAGGTTATTCGCTGCTTGAAAGCTTTCATGAACAACAAGGTGAGATTTTTGCCATTCTCATTCTGTTCTCTATCTGGACTCACTATATTTTTGTTGGTAGACTTCAAATAAGAGTTCAAGATGTTTAGCTTTGTTTTTAGTGCTGTAATTATTCTTCATTGCTACATGTATGTTCTTCTGTAGATATTTTCCCTAGTTCTGACTTATTTCCAATAGTAGGCTCAATTTTCTTTCTTTTTCTTTACATGCATTTGCTAAGTTTTAAATTTTGTGATCTGTATTTACAGTTTTAGGAACGCTAACTGTATTCCATGCTTGTTTTTTCCCTCCAGACTATTACTCCTTTAGAACCTTTTTGTGTGTTTGTGTGTGTTGATTATTTAAACACAATGATCCCATAGTTCTATGCCTTTGAGAACAAATTTACCTTCTTCACTGTTTACTTTATTTTTGTGGAACCGGGGATTGAACTCAGGTCCTTGCGCTTGCCAGGGAAGTGCTTATTCCACTGAGCCATCTCCCCGGCCCCACACTGTTTACTTTTGTTATAATTAACTTAATTCATTGGCTTTGCGGGGAATATTAAAAAGAAACATAAAAAAAGATTTTTATTCTTGAGGATGTAGAATTTTGTCTCCTAGAAATTTGTTTTACTATGTTTATCTCTGGTTATCCATACTGAAAAAAGTATTCTACCTCTGTGTTAGTTTACTAGAATACCACAGACTGGTTATCTGAAACACCAGAAATTTATTGTTTCACAGTTCTGTAAGGGTAGTTGTCTCAGTTACTCTTCTCTTGTTGCTGGGACAAATACCCAACACCTAAATGAAGGAAGGAAAGGTTTATTTAGCTCACAGTTACTGAAAGTTTTAGTCCATACATAGCTGGCTTCAAGGCAGAGTGGCACGTGGCACAGAGCAACTTTTCATGGTGGCTGCAGAGAGCAAAGAGCAAAAGGGAGGGATAATGGCAACAACGGCTACAGAGCACAAGTCTGTCTCCCTGCAGTTGCATTCAGGCTATCTGTCCCAGGCCAGGTGCAGCACTCACACCCATAATCCCAGCAGCACTCACACCCATAATCCCAGTGGATCATGAGTTAATCACAAACCGAGAAGTCCTCCCCATGACTGCATGAGGCTTTGGGAGGACAAATAGACACAAACCATAGCAGTAGTTCAAGAGAAGTCTGAGTAGGTTTTATCAGAGTTGGTTCTAATGGCTGTGAGGGGGCTAGGGAGATAGCTCATCCATCTGAGCACCTGCCCGGAAAGCACAAGGTACCACGTTTGATTTCTGGTACTGCATGCCAAATGAGCCCTAGAACCCCAGCAGTGCTGTGCCAGCCCTGAAACTGGGTGTGGTGGGCGCACACCTCTAATTCCAGCACTGAGGAGGCTGAGACAGGATCACTAGGAGTCTGAACTGCATAGCGAGACCCTGTTCCAAAAAAGTTAAATTAAAAAAATGAAGGTTGTGAGGAAGAATATGTTTCATGCCTCTCTCCTGGTTTCTGGGACCATACTGCATGCCAATGTGAATTCATTGTAAGTTAACTATTTCACACCTACATCGACTATATTTCCAAGTAAGTTCACATTCCAAAGTCATGGGGATTAAGCTATAACGTATGAATTTGAGAAGTGTACCATTCAGCCTATAAAAACCTGTAAAGCTGTCTCTGGTTAGATGCTGTTGTCTTTAAACCTCCATTCTTTCTTCTTTTCCTAACAGTTTGGCATCAAGACTATGTTGGAGGCAGAAGAAGGAATCCTACTGCTGGTCAGAGCTATGGATCCTGCAGTTCCCAACATGATGATTGATGCAGCTAAGCTGCTTTCTGCTCTCTGTATCCTACCACAGCCAGAGGACATGTATGTGATTAGTTTTTTCTCTTCATTTTCATTCTTACCGTGTTGTTTTAGTCTAGAAGATTGAATTGCTTAGATGTCCTCCTGGTCTTAAATATTAGCTAGGTAAGACCATTAAGAATTTTTTTTTTTTTTAAATGTATTTAGTACAGGGTCTACAAAGTCTTACTACACAAACCAGACTTGTAGTGATTCTCCTGTTTTCAGCCTCCCAAGCACTGGGATTGCAGGTGTGTGCCACCACTCCCATTCTCAGTTGCCATCTCAGTGCATCCTGGGGGCAGGGCTGGCACAGCATGCTGGGATTGAACCTGGTCCCTGCTGCATTTGCCTAAGCAGGTGCTTTAATCTGCTGAGCTATCTGACTGGCCCAAGAATTTTAATACAGATTAGCATCCCTAATATAGAAGTCCCCAAATCCTCCAAATTGAAACTTTTTCACACCATCATGATGACTGAAGTGGAAAACATAACTACAAAACTTTGATTTATGTACAAAATCATTTAAAATGTTATATGAATTACCATTACCATATATGTATAAGATCTGTCTGAAACAGAAATGAATTGTGTTTAAGTTTGCATCTTATCCCCCAGATAACTCATTATGTATATGCAAATATTCTAAAGTCCAAAAAAATGTAAAATCTGAAATGTGGCATCAAGCACTGTGGGTGAGAGCCTTTATTCATGAAGAATTCCTAGGTAATGGGGACTATCCTGAGTGTACCACTATCGTCTTAGGTAGAACAGGCTACTCGTTATATCTCCACTGATTTTTCTTTTGTCTAGGATAAGCTTTTACTGTTGTGTTCTTTAATTGAGAAGTAAGACAACATTATCACTAAAATTCAAACAACAGTATAAAAATACATACAATAAAATTTAACTGCCTCTAACAAATGCTATTGTACAGAGATGTCCACTATTAGTGGCTTGATAGAGTCTCAATAGATGTTTTTCTGAGTACAAACAATGCATTTCCTTGACTCTATCTTAGAGTCAAGGATATAGTAGATTCTGCCAAAATATAGTATCTTAGGTATAAGGAATAATCGTGTTTGCCTATAAAGTCAAATACATGTATAAGGTGGATTTTTTTTTTTTTGTGTGGGGGGAGTCTGGTTTAACAGAAGCTAAACCATACCATTCATTCCATTTTTTTGTTTTTGTTTTTGTGGGATTTTTCCTTTTGAGACAGGGTTTCACTCTTAACTCAGGCTAGCCTTAAACTGTAGCTGGGCCTGGCCTCAAACTCTCAGCAATCGATTCATTCTTTTCACCTTGTTTCTTTTTCATTTAATAACATATCATGGTTGTTTTTTTACCTGTCATTAGAGATTGACCTCATTATCTTTAGTGGCTACTTATAATTTTATATGTGTGCAGTATAGATCCATAGTTCATTAAACATTTTCTCCATTGCTAGACTTCTATGTAGACTTTAGCAGATTTTGGCCCTTGCTCTATGTAACAAGAATTTTTACTATTACAAATGATGCAACAGGGCTGGGGAGATGGCTGAGTGGAATAAGCGCTTCCCTGGCAAGCGCAAGGGCCTGAGTTCAATCCCTGGTTCTGCAAAAAAACAAACAAACAAGTGATGCAACAAACATCTCTATACGTATCTACTTTCAGCTTTGTATATTTATAGATAGATAGGTTACTAGAGTTAAGTCAGCTGTTGTGTGCACTAAAAGTCAATTAGTATTAGATGCCTCTCAAAAAGTTGAACCAAATTATTATTTCATAGCATAGGGTTCTTAATTTAATATCCAAAGGTAAGAGTCTAGAAATGGTCCTTAGAAATATATTTTCCTGAAGAGTTCTGTAGGTTGTTGCAAATCCTGGCTATTGTTCTATGGGCGTTAAGAGAATAATTTGAGAAATTTTTCATTTTAGTATCGGAAATCAAACTCAGGGCCTTGCCCTTGCGAGGCAGGCGCTGTGCTGCTGAGCTAAATCTCTGGCTAATTTGAGAAATCTGAAGTATTGATAATATACAGTTTCCTAGCCAGGTATGGTGACGCACATCAATAATCTCAGCACTTGCACTTGAGAGATCAGCCTGGGCTACATAAAGCTTGTTTCAAAAAACCAAAGAAAAAACTTACTACTTCTTAACTAGTCTGTGTAACGTACCTATTGTACATACCTGTTAGAGCACCTAGACTGTACCCTCCCTTTTCTTTTTTCTTGGGCAGGAATGAACGTGTTTTGGAGGCAATGACAGAAAGAGCTGAGATGGATGAAGTGGAGCGTTTCCAACCTCTGTTGGATGGGTTAAAAAGTGGGACCTCCATTGCAGTCAAGGCACGTGTGTACCTCAAAACTGGACCCAAAAACAATTCAAGATGGAAAGACTTAAGTTCTTTTGACCTTCTAATAGAACATATCGAATTAATTATTTTATATTTGAGAATTTATTGTGAAGGAAAGATGACTAAACATTTGTTTAAGAAGGGATAAAATGAAGTATTTTTCTCATTATGAAATTGGAAAAAACATAATATCTATCTGCATGTTAGGAAACCAGGACCATACAATAACATGTACTGTCAGATCCTTGGAATCATTTACAGTTCTGAGCTCTGCAGACCTGTGGTCAAACCAGGTCTCACTGCTGTAGTAGAAAAATCATTCCTATAGTTTTTGTGCTATTATCTTTTGGTTTCATTTGAGAGCCCCCAGAATGCATGTAAAGAGAATGGAGTCTTCATCTGGAGGAGTTAGTATTGAAACAGCTGCTAAATTTTCTTTTTTAGGTGGGATGCCTACAGCTGATCAATGCTCTCATCACTCCAGCTGAAGAACTTGACTTCCGAGTTCACATCAGAAGTGAACTGATGCGCTTGGGACTGCATCAGGTGTTGCAGGTAAGCAGTAACACTTCATTAGACAGTCTGGCCTGTTCCTTCCAGTTCTTACATCCCCAGTTAACCCTGGGATAACAAGTTTGCTATGTAAAAACCAGGTTGAAAGGTTTGGGCTTCTAGCCATGTACTACACTTTTGTGTTCTCTAACTTTTACTTTGGTCATTAACAGGACCTTCGAGAGATTGAAAATGATGATATGAAAGTACAGCTGAATGTGTTTGATGAACACTCAGAAGAAGATTCCTATGATCTAAGGGGTCGGCTGGATGACATTCGTATGGAGATGGAATATCCTTTAGCTGACTGGGTTAGGACAGATGAGGCATTGATTGCACTGAATGACAATCTCCTGTATGGAATGCTGTGGAAGACAATGACTCAGAGCAGAACCTGAGGCTTATGTGTCTTCTTATTGCTTTTGGCTTTATTCACATTAGCATTGACCAAGGAAATTGATAAACATAATCTGAGGTAGCCATCAAAATTGCCTGGAACATGATAGTTTAGCTTCTTGTGAAGTAGCGAACTGGTCTGACAGAGGGACCAATTGGGTTACCTTTTAATATACATGAGAAGTGATTTTGAGGCAGTTAATACTTTTACTTTCTGTGTACTGCTTATCCTCAAACTAATTAGTGGGAATCCTCTGTCTACTTAGGGTGGTCATTACAGGACCTTTGAGAGGTTGAAAATGGTAGGAAAGTACACCTAAGTGTTTAATGAACACTCAGAAAAAGATTCCTATGATCTAAAGGTTGGGTGATTCATGTGTTGCAAGGGTACTTAGCTAAGAAACTTAAAGTTGCTGGTGATGTTTACAGAGGGATGACCATGGGAGTGGAGGTGGCATCTTACTTTTCCTTAGCTTCTTCTGGAGTTGAGTAAGTCACTATCAAACATAGTTTCTAAGCATTTTCTTTCCTTAGCCTGGTCCTCTTTCCACTGACTTTAGTGAAGTCTTCCAAATTCTCTTAAATACTGTGAAGGACTCCAAGGCAGAGCCACACTTCCTGTCTATATTACAGCACCTCCTATTGGTCCGAAATGACTATGAGGCCAGGTAAGAAGACTGTACACCTGTGGGAAACTTTGAGTTTGAGCGTATGTGAATGAAGAGTGCAGAATCCTTAAACAGTTTTTTATAGAGGGTAAAAGAAAAGGCAAAGGCCATAGTCTAGAGTTCATTAGTCACAGATACAAAGGAAATTGTCATTTGTTCTTTTAATCCAACTAATAGGTTTCCTATGGAGGTTAGAGTATATAGTGAAATGCCTGTCTCCAAAATGGACTAAGTAGGTAAGTGAGGTGAGGATAACAAAGGGAAGTGACAATTTAAAATTCTTTCTGCTTGCCTGAAAAATTTCTTTCTTTCTTTTTTTTTTTTTTTTTCCCCTTTTGGTACCAGGAACTGAACTTAGGACTTCTTTCTTGCCAGGCAGGCTCTGTGCCACTGAGCTAGACCCCCAGTCTTCTGTTTGCCTGGAAAGTGGAGTTTCAGCAGTAGCACTATCACAAATCCAGATATGTAGATGGGAAAATTTTGGCCCTAAGAAGCAAATGGCAAAATTTTTCTTTATTTGTGGTAGTGCTAGGATTGAACCAAGGGCCTCATGTAAGCTAAGCACATGCTCTTCCACTGAGCTACATCTCCAGTGTATAAGTTCTAATCATCAGAAGTTGAAAGAGGGGCTGGGGAGATGGCTCAGTGGAATAAGTGCTTCCCTGGCAAGCACAAGGGCCTGAGTTCAATCCCCGGTTCTGCCAAAAAAAAAAAAAAAGAAAGAAAGAAAGAAAGAAAGAAAGAAAGAAAAAAAAAAAAAAAAAAAAAAAAAAAAAAAAAAAAGTTGAACGAGTGGAAGATTATTTCTTAGCGTGACAATGGTACTTCTGTTCACTTCACGAAAGATTCTTTTCCAGAACGCTTATCCTTAAGCTCCTTTATTGGCAGAATGAGTTAAATTTTGATTCTGAATACTTACTGTGTTTTGATTTCCCGTTGATTAATCGTATCTTTTTTTCCCATAGACCACAATACTATAAGTTGATTGAAGAATGCATTTCCCAGATAGTTCTTCATAAGAATGGGGCTGATCCTGACTTCAAGTGCCGGCACCTCCAGATTGATATTGAAGGATTAATTGGTGAGCTTATATTCTTCTAGTGATTTTCTCAAAATGTTCATTGCTTCTTTCACTAATGGACTATCTCCTTTCCAGACCCAGATATAGGCATGTATACTCCTTTAGTTTATTTCTTCATAAATCTAAAAAAAAATCTTTCTAGTCCCTAATACAGGAATATATAGTCCTTCAGTTTATTTCTATTTAAATCTGAAGGTCTGGTCTTTCTTACATATTACCTTCTGGTAGGAACTTAAGTTATTACAAATCTTCCTTGATTAATGACCCATCTGGTTAATGACTGTTCAGATACAACTGAGGCATGCTCTTTGGACTCATGACCTGTCCTTTTTCTTTTGGTACCAGGAACTGAACTCAGGACCTCTCTCTTGCCAGGGAGACACTATGCCGCTGAGCTAAACCCCCAGTTTTCTGTTTGCCTGGAAAGTGGAGTTTCAGCAATAGCACTATCATGAATCCAGATATGTAGATGGGAAAATTTACTTTTTGTATAGTTCTGAACGTCTTGTTTATAGAGCTTCATTGTCTTGTTTTGTTGTAATTTTTGCTGATTATAACGTATAATACTGTAGTTTTATGTTGTTATATATTATAGTACTACGTGTAACAGTTATGCAAATAAAAGGAAACTCATCAAGTTGGAGTTCCTTTGACCATTTATTTGTTCTGAGTATTGTGATCTACATACTATATTCAATTCCTTTTTTGTTCACCAATTCAATTGACCTAATTATAGAACAGAACCCAGTCAGTCCTTAAGTAAGGAGTGCATATATTTGTGACTCCTGCTGGCTCCAGATAGTCATATCTATTACTCATAGGTATTATTAGTGCTATCCAGTGTGGTAGCCTTCCCTTGCATGTAGAAATTATAGGTTGAAGTTAACTGAAAGTTCCATCTCTTGGTCTAGTACAGAATATTGAGAAGGGCAATATAAATAGCCACAAAGGGGCCGGGGAGATGGCTCAGTGGAATAAATGCTTCCCTGGTAAGCACAAGTGCCTGAGTTCAATCCATGATTCCGCCAAAATAACTAACTAACTAACTAACTAACTAACTAACTAACTAACTATAAAGGCAAAAGACTCTTGTTCAGTATATTGAAGGGCTTATGAATGAGAAGATTGAGAGAACTGATAACTTTACTCACTTTTTTTTTTTCAGATCAAATGATTGATAAAACAAAAGTGGAGAAATCTGAAGCCAAAGCTACAGAGCTAGAAAAAAAGGTGTGTATGAGAAATCAGTGGTAAAGAGCTTGCCAACTATTCACGAGGCCCTGGGCTTGATCTCTTAACACCACTGAAAATTTTTTTGTCTGACAGTTATTTTTTTGGTAAGACTTTTTGTCTGTGATATTTTGAAAACACTCAGCATTTGATAGTTCCTATATTTTTCACTATAGTTTAGTCATTAGAGAAAGTAATACATATGGAAACATTAGGAGTTACAGATAGGCTCATATAGTTCTTGGGCTACAAAACAGGATAAGAAAGGCAAATGATGCTCATATGTATATAATACACTTATATAATGGTGGTGGCACTCCCAGGTTTGCTTGGCATCTCATGTCTCTTATCCCTCCAGCAATAAGAATGGGAACATAACCAGATTCGCTTTCTCTTTCATAATTAAAAAGGACTCCTACTGGGAATGATAGAATTTTTTTTTTTTTTTTTTTTTTTTTTGGGTTGAAAGATTTTTGATCCTAATGTAGGCTGGGATTGTACCACCATAGCTGTCCTGGTTTGTTTTTGTTTTTCTGGGGGGGCAGTACTGGGGCTTGAACTCAAGACCCTGTGCTTGCCAGGCAGGCGCTTATTCTAATGAGCTATCTCCCTGGCCCTGTCGTAGTTGAAAGGTGTTTTAAATATTGTTGGGTTTTTCTTAATATTTTTTTTTCTAAGTAATGCATTAACATTTTATTTCATAAGTTTAGAAGTTATTCGCTTTAAAGTTTCATTTATACTATCTACATATAATTAAAATGAAGTGCATCAGTTATCTTGATATAAGAAAATGAAACTCCCAACCTGAAAGATACCTGGGCCGACTTCGTGTTCTCTAAAATCAAAGAATGAATTTTAGGAACAAGTGGAGGTTAAAAGCAGAATATATTTATTGGGGAAACAGCTTCTGTCTGACAGAGAGACAAAAGAGGGACCCCAGTGGGTTGCCCTTTTTCTTATATGGATCTCTAGAGCAAATACTGGCACAAAATAGTGAATTGAGGGAGTAACGTTTGTGCTTCTTACTGGTTGAAGAGCTTGCTAGAAGCCATATTCCTTTCTTCTCTAGCTGGACTCAGAGTTAACAGCCCGACATGAGCTACAAGTGGAAATGAAAAAGATGGAAAGTGACTTTGAGCAGCAACTTCAGAATCTTCAGGGAGAAAAGGAGGCACTGAATTCTGAAAAGCAAAAGATTACCACAGAGAAACAGGACCTGGAAGCAGAGATGTCCCAGCTCACAGGAGAGGTAACTGAGAAGGAAAGGCATAGTGCCCATAACTGCCCTCAGCTTGTGTCTTAGAACAGGATCCGATCTTCTCACTCCTGGAGGAGCGGTAATAGGTAACCTAAGTAGACGGTGCCTATTTTAAGAATCACTGGTTTTAATTTTGCCTTAGAAGTAAATGATAGACATTTAGAGCATACAGGAAAACAAAAAGATGAGTTATTTGCTACCACCCAGAAATAAAAGTAATAAGCAACTAAAAAAGGTAGGTGTAAAAACTAAATTGTGGGGGCCGGGGAGATGGCTCTGTGGAATAAGCGCTTCCCTGGCAAGCCCAAGGGTTTGAGTTCAATCCCTGGTTCCACAAAAAAACAAAACAAAACAAAAAAACCCACCTAAATTGTGTACTTATTTGCTGATTTCCCCTTATTGTTGTCATCTATGGATAGATCTTACACACTCTTTGCAGTTATGTTTAAATTATCTGTGTTACCCAATGATTCGATTACTTACATGACTGTATAAATTACTCAATATCACATTGTTAGTTATATAACTGGAATGATTTATGTACTTGACCTTACATTCTCTAATGGAAAGAAGAGTATACTGTAGAGATTAGATTATATACAAAGCATAGTGAACTAAGAACATCAAGACTTGAGTTCTAGTTTTTGCTCTGGCACTAAATAGTAATAGGACTTTAGGCAAATCTTGTGATCTGTCTTAACTCCTTCCACTTTCTCCACTTGTAAAGTATTTGTATTGAGTATTTCTCAGGTTCCTTCTAGCCCCAGTAGTCCCTGAGGTGGGATATACTCACAACAGTGTTATTTCTGTAGGTTGCCAAGCTGTCAAAAGAACTGGAAGATGCCAAGAAAGAAATAGCTTCTCTGTCTGCTGCAGCTGTTGCTGTAGCTCCTTCTGTTCCTAGTAGTACTGCTGTTCCCCCTGCTCCTCCTCTACCTGGTGCCTCTGGCACTGTTATTCCACCCCCAGCCCCTCCTTTACCTGGAGAGGTCAGCATACCACCCCCTCCTCCTCTTCCTGGAGTGGGTTCCAGTCTCCCACCACCTGCCCCTCCTTTACCTGGAAATGTTTGTATCCCCCCACCCCCTCCCTTACCTGGGAGTACTTCTATCCCCCCACCCCCTCCCTTGCCTGGAAGTACTTCCATTCCCCCACCCCCTCCCTTGCCTGGAAGTACTTCCATTCCCCCACCCCCTCCCTTACCTGGGAGTACCTCCATTCCCCCAGCCCCTCCCTTTCCTGGGGCTGCAGGTATTCCCCCACCCCCTCCCTTGCCAGGAGGAGCAGGAATACCACCTCCCCCCCCACCTCTTCCTGGAATTCCTCCACCCCCACCATTTCCTGGAGGTCCTGGCATTCCTCCACCCCCACCTGGAATGGGTATGCCTCCACCTCCCCCTTTTGGATTTGGAGTTCCAGCAGCCCCAGTTCTGCCATTTGGATTAGCCCCTAAAAAAGTTTATAAGCCAGAGGTGCAGCTCCGGAGGCCAAACTGGTCCAAGGTAAGAGTTTCGATTCATCTCTGTCATAGATCTTAAGAAAGGACTTCAGTTTCCTACTTTGTAGGTTGTGCTTGGATTGGCTTCCCTTTCTTATGCTTTACATCTGTCCATCTCAAAATTTTTCTTATCTTATGTTTATTCAGTGTCTCTTAGATTTCTGACATTACCATGGACAGTTCTGTGAGTGCTGTATGCAACTAAACTTCCAAGTTAATTTCTATTTATTTATTTATTTATTTATTTATTTTTCTTTGTCTTTTCTTTGAGGATAAATACTATGGCTAACCATAGTTTGATGGGGTTGGGGAGATAGCTCAGTGGTCTAAGCACCTGCCTGGCAAGCACAAGGACTACCACATGCTGTCCTGGCTCCAGATACCGGGTCCCAGGTGTGCCCTGCCATCCTGGGCTTGCTGTGCCAGCCACCAAAACCAGCCATGGTGGTGCACTCCTGTAATCCCAATGCTGGGGAGGCTGAGATAGGATCACTAGGAATCCAAGCTCCGAAGTAAATAAATAAATAAAAGATTTAAAGAAAAAATTAAAAACACCATAGTTTGACAGTAGTCATTTTCCCAGTCTGAAAATGATTGAAATTGTTCTGATGGGAACTCTCCCTGGGATAGGTGTTATGAAGTCCGTACAAACATGCCCACAATGTTTCTGAGATTTTAAGTCACTTTTGCTTCCAGAAACTCAGTTAAAATAAAATTGGGCAAATTAATGTAGAAAGTGTAGAGCAGGGCAGGATGTAAAATAAAACCTACATGTTTCTAAAGTTAGATTTGGGGTTAGAAGAAGGACAGCTAGCATATCTGAATATTAATTAAATCATCAGTAAAAGAAACTGGCAGCCTTGTCTCCTGATCCCACCACAAAAAGTATAGGTGTGTGTGTGTGTGTGTGTGTGTGTTTGTGTTTGTGTTTGATTTAAGACAGAGTCTCGCTGTGTAGTTCAGGCTGGCTTTGAGTTTACTAAGTAGTCCAGGCTGGCCTTGAGTTTGTAGTTATCCTCCTGAGGCATCAGCCTCCTGAATTCTGAGGTTACCTGCGTGTACCACCACTCCCAGCTGGTGTTTGTGTCTTAGGTTAGTCTGACTCTGGTAAAGGAATAATAACCAAGCAGTTCCCTCCTTTGTATCTTAATCAGTTTTCTAAGAAGAAGTATACTGGTTTCAGCTTAGTCACTCTTAACCTTCTGCCTGTATCCACAGTTTGTGGCTGAGGATCTTTCCCAAGACTGCTTCTGGACAAAGGTGAAGGAGGACCGTTATGAGAACAATGAACTGTTTGCCAAACTTACCCATACTTTTTCAGCCCAGACCAAGAGTGAGTACTTCCTCTTTCATGCCAGGGTTTATCCTTTTGTTTTCCCATTCTCTTCCCTTCTGGAGGTAGGGTTTGGGGTAGGGAGTGTTGGGTAGAAGAGAGACATTTTCGTACTATGGGCTTATTGGAACTGGAAAAGAGGATTGTTATACGTAGGTATTTTATGTCAAATATGACTTGTGAGAATATGAGCTTAAAGTATCAGAGGCTCAGTTTGGGGCCATTTTGATGATACCATTTGCGTGGATTGTAGTACTGCCTCAAGAATTAGTGAGGATTGGAAGGATTGTTTACAGTAACAAAGAACCATGTGTGATTCCTTTCCTTCTATTTCTTTCCAATATCTGATGCTGACTCCCTCCTGGCCCTTTGCTCCTGCAGCTTCCAAAGGTAAGAATACAAATGAGCCTTTCAGTTGCATCTCTTGAATGATAAAGAAAAAACACATGCATAGGATTTTCTTTTTAGAAAACTAAGACCAGAGGTTGAGAATTGATGTCTCTGGCTAGGGCCAGTAGCTATGGGCCTAAACAGGAATTTTATATTATACTGTCACATCCTTGTTTCTTTGGAAGACAAAAGACGACTTAGTAATACCAGTTAGAATTTACACAGTGCTTTAACATATTATTACTCTGTTTGATCTGTAGTAAAGCTTTATGAGACAGGCCAAGTGTGTGTTGTGTCCATTCTGTAATACTTAAGGTAGATAGCATTCCCCCAGTTATGTGACCAAATGGAGGTGTTTTGACTGCTAGTCCATGGTTTCTATGTAAATTCTTGGTGGTTTTTTTTTCCCCCACTTTTATTTGTTCCCTTTTATTTATTTGTTTATTTTTTGGCAGAACCGGGGATTGAACTCAGATCCTGGCATTTGCCTGGCAAGCGCTTATCCTAATGAGCCATCTCCCTGGCCTTTGTTCCCTTTTAGAAGAGCTGATCTGCTTTGCTCTCTTGCTTTACTTCCTAGTTCTTGGGGTTTTATGCCCTTCTTATAGGGTACTTGTAGTTATTTCTCCTGAGAAATACAATACTTAGAAGATCTTATCATGTATGTGTATGATAATTATAGCCTAATAATTTCATATTTCCATCATCTCTCAGCATTGTTGTCCAATTAGAGGTTTATTATGACCCTAGCAATGAACATTACATGCAGCTTCAGAGTATTTCTTTCTGTTCTTCCCTCAGTAAATTAACATTTTAAAAGAATTATTTTTTTACATAAATGATGTGGCAGAACATTTGTTCTACTAAAGAGTCTAATAGATTGCTAGGCACCTTTAATGGCCCTAGTCATGTGTGTTCTATCTAGCAGGGAAACATCATGATGCTCAGGCCTCTCTTGTAGCCTGATTACTCTGGGGAAAGTGGCCTTTTCTTCCAAGAGAACTGTCATCTGACGGTACAGGATTGACTTCCATTTTCTTAGTTTAAAATACCAACAAAGACTATTGGCAGTAAAAGTAGAAATCAAATTATTTCTACCTTTTAAGTTCATAGAATCTATTCCTGTATTGGTCTCTGGCATCAGTTCCTTTCTTGTGCCTGGGCTGGGCACTAGGTTGCAAATGTACACACACTGGCCCTCTTTCTCCATCCTTTTATCCTGTTTGTTTCTATTCTTACTGTTTTAACAGGTTTTTCTGGACTGTAGTAATCTTCCTTGACATTATATCCTCATTATCAACATTTTAACAAGCAGACTTTATCTCATTTTGTTTTCAGCAGTATAATCAAATTTAATCCTCCACCAGCTCTCAGTATCTGCTCAGGAAACTGCTTTCTATTCATTGAGGGTTCTAACTTGTAGCAGTTTTGGCTTTAAAAACAAGAAAAAAAAAATATTCTCTGAAATTTCTATCAGAAAGAACAAGTATAAATTAAGCTGTTTAGTAGCAGTCTTAATTTTCGTGTAATAGTAATGACTCCTGCTAGATCGCTGCTGTTGTTGTAAAAGGAAATTTGTAGCTGGTCTTTAAATATCTTTATTTGTGATTAGGCCATTCAGGTATTAGATTATGTCTTAATTTCCTGATCTTTTCAGTGGGGAGGATTAGAGAAGGTGTCCTTAGTTACTTAGAGAAATTCCTGGGAGAGATTTTTTCTGTCAAATATAGTCATTAATACTTATTGGTTGCTTGGCTTTTCACAGTTATCTTTAACATCCAAATGCAGCAGAATCTTCTAGCTTCTCATCAACTACATCTCTGTTTTAAATAGTTTGCCCCAGAGAACAATAACTTCCCTTTAAAAAAAAAATTGTTTCTTTGGATTTTCAGTGTTTTATTCACTCCAATGTTGTCTGACACCCACCTCCCCATTTTCTTACTTTCCCTTTTATCTACTCATTAGATCTAGAGTGATGCCACATGTGTTGGGGCTCATTTCATGTGTTTCTCTTAAGGTCAGAATTGCTGCTTTAACATTTTATTCCCTGTTACTGGTGATTGAACCCATAAGGCATGCTGTCTACTACAGAGGTATATCCACAGGCTCCTCTGTCTGTTCATCCATCTGAGACAGGGCCTTGCTGGCCTTGAACTCAGTACGTGAACTAGGCTAGCCTGCAACTTTCATTGATCCTTCTGCCTCAGCCTGGGATTGCAGGCATGTGTGACTACACTCAGCCTCATTTATTTTTGAGACAGGGTCTTACTATGTTGCCCAGGCAGGTCTCGAACTTGTGATCCTCCTGCCTATGCCTCCCTAAATGCTGAGACTACGAAGTCATGCATTACCATGCCTAGCTGCTTTGACATCTTATGTGTGGCTATCAGGTGACAGAAAAAGTGCTATATGTGGACCCCAAGTCTTGTATCACACATGTTGTGGTTTTCCAGCCAACTTGCCCTCCCCATCCTGATGGAGTTTCAAGTCTCTCCCTTTTGGTACCAAGGCTGGCAAACTCGCCAAATATGATCCAGGCACAGAAAGAGAACACTTTAGTAAACAGTATTTGGGCTTCTCAGAGTCAGAGTGCATTTTTTTTTTTTAAATTTAGTGTGTGTGTGTGTGTGTGTGTGTGGCCAGCTCAGCCCACCTGGGGGCGGGGCTGGCTGGCATGTGGTGCTGGGGGATTGAACCACGGTCCCTGTGCTTTGCCAAGCTTGTTCCAAGTAGGTGCTTTAGACCACTGAGCCATCTCTCCAGCCCCCAGAGTACATGTTTTTAATCAAGAAAAGAAAATGGTTTTTTGAGTTAGAGTCTCCGTGGCCCCCAGGTTGGCCTTGAACTTCTGATCCTCCTGCCCCTTCCTCTCTAGTACTAAGGTAACAGGCACAGGAAAGATATTCCCTGTGCTTTGTCTTAGCCAGTCCACCCCAGTCCACCCCAGTACTCTGTACTGGGAAATGAGCCCAGAGCTTTTGCACTAAGACATACCTGCCTCCCTTTTAAATATTTTAAGTCAGGGTCTCACTAAGGTGCCCAGACTGAGCTTGAACTTGGCATCTTCCTGCCTTACCCTGCTAGCATTGTGCCCAGAATTTCAGCTCTCGAAATTTTAGAAGTGGAGATTGAAGGGACTTAGATCCTTCAGTATGACAGCAAGGTTTACTTTGTGTGTGTGTGTGTGTGTGTGTGTGTGTGTGTGTGTGTGTGTTTGGCGGGACTGGGGATTGTATCAGGACCTTGCGCTTGCCAGGCAAACGCTTCTTTACTGAGCTGTCTCCCTGGCCCTGAATTTTTTTTTTTTTTTTTTTTTTTTGGCTGGCTCAGGAGTCCTTAAGGGCAGGTCTGATAAAGCGTTAGGATCCGGGGATTGAACCACAGCATCCTGAGCCTGACTGCTTTGTTTAAGCAGGCACTTAAACAACTATGCTAATGGGCAGGCCCTCAGCAAGGTTTACTTTGCTTCCAATGCTTTAAATATATGTAAGTTCAGGAAAGATCTATTATCTATCTATCTTTACTTCTTTTTCCACCCAGGGTCTATTTTTTTCTTCCTTCCTTCCTTTATTTTGTGTGTGTGGTATGGGGGATCGAACTTGAGACTGCGCTTGCCAGTTAAGTGCTTATGCCACTGAGCTATATCCCTGGTCCCTCAGGAAAGATCTTTATTTCTGACTGTTTTTAAAAATTATTCAGTATACTTTGTAAATGCCAGAGCCAAGATTCAAACCCTAAACTTTAACTCCAGAGTATTTACTCTATTCCACTACTCCCTAGAAATGTACTTGCCTTAGGAGCCTCTGAAATCTTAGATGCAAACAGAAGCTGCAAGTTGGCTTCAGTGATCATTCCACTCCTCTCAGCACAAGTGCCTTTGAATTGACAGTGTCTTTTCGGAGTAGAAAAAAGGGAACATTAGACTAGAGGAAGTAAATGGGAGACTGGGTATATGATGTTATAGAAGAGGTGTGTTCTGATTATACTGTGGGTGTTAGCAGAACTAGTCTAGTTGGAGAAATGCAGTATGCCTGTCAGGTGTTGTAGAAGCCCTGCGTGGTGATTCAGCCCAGTGTCGACAAGGAAGTTATTTGGACATTAGGTTTCATCATATTGCACTGTTTCCTCACTTGCTTGCTAAACACGGCTTTCTGCTGTTTGTTAAACATGCTTGTTATTCCCATCTATTTGTTAATGTCTAAAACTTCCTGTATACCTACTGACTTTGGGTACTGAAGGAAGAAACTTCCCTTACTGTACAGCCACAGGTGCCTCCAGGAACTTTCTTGTTAAGATTCAGGCATAGGGCAGGCTTGGTGCTCATGCTCTACTCGCAGCTCTTGGGAGGCTGACGCAGGAGTGCTGTGAGTCTGAAGCCAGCCTGGGCAATACAGTGAGCTCAAGGCCAGCAAGACCCTGTCTCAAGCAAGCAAGCAAATGTGTGCTTTTTTTTTACTAAGAGGTGAGCTAAGAGGCAAGAACTAGTTCTAGAATTTACACAGCAGATTCTTCTACACATTATGTCCCCTTAAAATATTAGTGTCTTGTTTCTGAACTCTTTACTTTTTATAAATAAGTACTTGCTTAGTAAATTTATTCCCTGACAGGGAATATTTTGAATTTGGGTGTGATAGACGTTGCCAGAAAATTTCTAGTCCTTTTTCACTTTCTCAGTTTCTTTATAGTGATCAGCAGAGGAGTCTTTTATCATGTACTCTGTGTTGACTCCACTTTTTTTTTTTTTTTTGGCTGGCTCAGGCTGCTGTAAGAGAGGGTCTGGTGTGGCATGTGGAGCTGGGGATCGAACCACAGTTCCCTGCACCTGACTGGATTTGCCCATGCACGCGCTGAAACAACTGAGCTAACCAACAAGCCCCCAGAGTTGAGAAGGATTTTTTTTTGGGCTGGCTCAGGCTGCCTTAAGGGTGGGTCTGGTAAGACATGGGGAGCTGGGGATCAAACCGAGGTCACCTGAGTCTGACTGAGTTTGCCCAGCAGGC